ACAAAAACTCTCTCTCTCTCTCTCTCTCTCTCTCTCTCTCTCTCTCTCTCTCAATAGAATGTATGTCATAATGATGATACAAATTTGATCACAGAATCTCAATCATCATTGCCGGCGAAAAAAAAATTCATTCAAAATTCATAATCATATTCCAAAAGAAAAGAGAAAATTCTCATCATTATTCTTCTTCTTCTGGGATTCTGGATTCTGTATGCATCATCATCATTTTCGTCTTCACTTTGAGTGCTGTGCGTGTTAAATATTTTTTTATTATTGCTCATTTCATATTCTCTAATAATATTGCTCAAAAATCATCATCATCATTTGAATAATTTAGTGGCCTGAATCGAACGAAAAATATTAACAAGAATCCAATTGGTTTTCCATATAATCCATCATCATCATCTGAATAAAAAAAAATATCGATACTATCGATTCGAATCGTTCATCATTTTGTTTCCGTGTTTTTGTGCTCGAGTTTTGTGTTTGTGTTTTTTTTCGATCCATTTCTTTTGCTATTTTGAAAAAAAACAGCCAAAAAAATGGCCAAAATTCTTGATGAAACCGATGATGATGATCATCAGGATGATCATCATCAAAATCATCAAAATCCTTGTTCCAAAATACACCATACGATTATAAAACCACATTTATTGAAGATTATAATTTCATTATTTATAATATTGTTTATAAATGATAATAATAATAATGTTTCGTGTTTACAACATAATGATTATGATGATGATGTTCCATCATCGATAGTAAATCGGTTGATTACAACATCAACAACAACAACAGAATTACCATCAACAATGAATTCATTGAAAAAATTCTTCAATAAAATCGATGATATCAGTAGTAACCAATCAAGTATGTAAATTTTTTTGTTTTGAGAAATTTCTTTGGAAAAAATTAAACTTTCTAGAGAAAAAAACTTCCGAAAATTTTTTTTTATTTATTTGTTTTTATGATTATCTTGATTCAGAATATTCTTTTGGATTTTCTCTTCTTTTGGTCATGTTCTTCATTGAATTTTTTTCATTCTGAATTCGTTGTTTCATTCGGAATTCGCCCTATTTTCATTGTTATTTATTATTCATTCTCATTACGGACAGAGAGAAGAGAATTTTCCCATTCCAAAATTTTTATTGTTATTCAATTTTTACAGAATGAAAATTTCTCCCCAAACGAACGAATGAATGAGAGGATGATGAGTGATTTAGTGATTTGAACATCCTTTGATGATGAGAAAATGTTCAAAATTAAGCCATTATCGTGTCCCGAATGAAGCAAAGAAGAAAATTTTAAATTAAATTTTCAATTCAAATTCATATTGTTCCACAAGCGAAAATGAGAGAAAATAATGGAATAGTCTGCATGCAGAAAAAAACACACAAATTAAAATAAATGTTTTTTCCATGTTTCTCTCATTTTGTTCATTCACATTTTTTTTGATTCTCGTTTCATTCCATTCCTCAAGGAACAATAATGTTTTGTTTTGTTTACTGTCTGAATATTGCATGGATTCTGGATTCTTGTATTATGTGTGTGGCCAAAAAAAAAAGGAAATCTCAATGACAATCATCCAGTGTCTTGTCAGTTTTTTGTTTGTTTGTTCGGTCTGTGTGTTTGTTTGTTCGGTTTACATGTGATTATCATAATCAAGTTTTTTTCCAACTATATTCCTGGATGTACAAAAATATTGCTCAGTTTTTTCAGTTCATGGATGCTTATTTCGCCTTTGGCTTTTTTGCTATACACGAAGAAAAACTTTTCATTTCACTATCTCTCTCTTTTGGAAAATTAGATTTGAAATCAACTTGCAGCTGAGAAAGTTTTTTTTCCTATTTACAACTTGGTTTGGTTTGGTTGGTTTAGTGTCAGCCATCCATTTAAATCAAATTCTAATAACGAAAATTCTTCAATTCAGAATCGAGAAGAATTTCGTTTTCGTTCGTCTTGAATTCCTATAAAAAAATAGCAGATCTTTAGGGCTTTTTTCTTGATTCCAATGATAATGATGAAGTGATGCTATTCAAGAAAATTGAAATTAAAATTTTACCGACACCACAAAGTTTGAAGTTTTTTCAGTAAATTCAGCTAGAAAAAGTTTTTTTCGGAAGAATTCACATCATTATCATATTTCATATTTTCTAATTGGTTAATGGTTTTTTTTCTGGGAAAGTTTCTCGAAGGCAAAGAAAAATCAATATGTGAAAATAAGACAAAGTCTCTTTTCAAATTGTGAAACTTGTAATTTAAAAAATGAAATTATCTATTTCAATTGGCAAAATGTTCATTTTGTCTTTTTTTAAAGTTTCAATATTTTTCTCCAATGTTTTTCTCGCTTTCCAGTGTTTTTCTCTTTTCAATTGTCGAACTAGAATCGATTTTGGAAACAAAAAAACGAAAGAAGGAAGAAAGTGTATATAAATGATGCGAATTGTCATTTGAAGAAACTTTTTTGAAAAAGAAAATTTCATTTCACCAAACGATGGACAATTAATTTTCCTTCGTTCGATTCTTGTTATTCGTTTGATTCTTCTTCTTTTTTATAAATGATGACTTCTTTGACTTTTGTTTTGGTCGTATAATTGATATATAGGGAATCATTCTGCAGAAATAAGAGATAAACATTGCCTAAAGAATCTTACCTGTTT